GGCGGCACCTTTTTTGGAATTTTCTTCCTTTTCAACGCCGTTTTTCGGGAATTTCGGCCTTTTTTTGAATTTTTTCGCAATAATATTCGGAAAATAGATAACTTTTAACACATTTTAATGCATCCTAACATGACCCTGGTGTGTTTTCTAGGTCATTTTGAAGTGGTGGCCGAACTTTTGCAAATTTGGTTTTTTAGGCCACAACTTCAAAATGACCTGAAATTGTCCCAAAATTACTGATGTGTTTTTCAGGCCATTTTGACATGGTGGCCTAACTTTTTCACTTTGAGTTTTCTAGGCCACCACCTTTTTTCGGCCTAAAAAATGGTCAAATATTCACCTAGTATGTTTCAGGTCATTTCAAAGCGCTGCAAGTTGAGTTTTCTAGCCAACTGAAATCCGAAAAAGTTCGATTTTCATCGACAAATAGCCTTGTCGAATTGTTGAATGTCGATTTTGTCGATTTCAAAGTCAACAAAAAGTCGTCGATTTTCGAGTCGAATCGGCACTCTGCCAAGAAATCTAAATTTTTTTCCAGAAAATTCCACTAAATTCACAGTCTTCTGTTGTTTTGGTTTTGGTTTCTGAAATTTTCAAAACAAATTTAAAAATTCGAAAACTACAGTACCCCCATCCCTGTACATGTCTGCGTCTCCTTGTGGTGTGACCAAATTCTCTGCGGATTTCGCATCTTTTCGTGTTGATTTTCTTATAGATTTCGTTTTTTGGAAAAATTCTATTTTTCTTAAAGGAGGCCAGACACCAAAAAAAAAAGTTTTCCTGATATTTTGCATAGAGAACCCCCCATGAGGGGTTGAACTCATGACAGGCAGCTCAGGGGTACAGCGCCGCTACCGGCTGAGCTACGGGGGCGCAAAGGCGCCTGACGACCGATGGTCTACATAAGCGCGGCGCGATTTCGTCCCCCGAAATTATTGCTGTCTCGCCTCCTTTAAGCATTTTTTTCTCATGTTTAGGACGTTTCCAGACCATTTTCTAGGCTTTACAGTCAATTTTAGGTCATTTTTGAGCAATTTAAAACCATTTTCAGGCAATTTTAAGCCATTTTGGGCAATTTTAAGTTTTTTTTGAGTTTTTTTTTCACGCCCGTTTTAAGCAATTCTAGGCCATTTTTAACCGATTTTAAGCCATTTATGCGCACTTTTAAGCCATTTTTTAGCAACTTTGAGCCATTTCCTGTCAATTTTAGGCTATTTTCGTGCAATTCTAGGCCATTTTTAATCCATTTTAAGCCTTTTATGGGCAATTTTAGGACATTTTCAGGCAATTCCAGTCTATTTCCACATATTTTAAGCCATTTTCGGGAACGTTTCAACCATTTTTGGGCATTTTTAGACCATTTCAAGTTATTTTTGGGCAATTTTAGGCCCTTTTTAGGCAATTTGTAGCCTATTTCTACCTACCTGAAGAACATCTCTTGTTAGCATTGACAACAGCGAATTCTCAATATCCACAACAATCGATAAACCCTCATCAATCAGCCCAGCCAAATAATACAACGCAGACTCCAACGCATAGACTTTCAGTGCCAAATCAGTGACTAATCTCTGTGATCTCGAATCATCAGCCAGTGTTCCTCGATGAGATACTCCGCGAATTCGTTCGGTTACACCATATCGAAAGTTCTCGAAGTGATCGACGAGCCATTCCTACTGTAGCTGCCGCCAGAGGCATTCGGCCGCTTCCAGATAGTTCCGCAGCAATTTCAGCACCATTTCCAGCCGTGCCTAGGACGTTTTTATCAGTGACAAGAGCTGTGATATCGATTCTTCCAATGTCTGTGCCTTTAAGTCCGATTGTCTCGTTCCGGTGGAACTTGATTTTGTCGGTTGTGGCCATTTCGGTTTCGTCCAGAATGTAGCACGTTTGCTCGCCGGCGTTCTAGAAAGATTACTGTAGTTCTCCAGCCAATTTTAGGTCGATTTTGGTCCTTTCTTTTCGGGTTTTTTTTTTGCGATTTTTTAACCGAAAATGTATTTTTTTTTTCAATTTTTATTCGAAATTTTTAGGCCTTTTTAAGGTTTTCAGTTATTTTTGAGAACTTTTTTTTGATTTTTCTAGCTTTTTTTGGCTGAAATTCGATAGAATTTTTTCGAAGATTACTGTAAAAAGCTAATTTCCTTTCGTAGTTTTTTTTTGGAAAAAATCACGTCATCAAAAAAAAACTACAAAAGGAAACAGGCTATCTACAGTAATCTACAGTAATCTTCGCGAAAAATCCTGTCAAATTTCAGACGAAAAAAAAACCAGAAAAATCGAAAAAGAGCCATCAAAAATAGTTGAAAAACTAAAAAAGGTCTAAAAATTTTGCCTAAAAATTGAATATAAAATCAAACTTTTCTCTCGAAAAAATCGCAAATTTTTCAGATATTTCAGTTTTGGCGGGAATTCAAAAAATGGACTTCTGACTCTTTTTTGATTTTTGCCAACTTTTCAGGATTCAAAGTCAAACAACGTACAGGCGGTAAATGCGATTTTGAATCAAGGAAACGAGACGAAAGAGGAGAGAGAGGAGAGACGCAGAGTGATAAGAGAGATCAAAAGTGGATTGAAGACGAAGGAGGAGAAGGAGCAGGCGGAGAGACGGATTCAGGAGAAGAATAAGGCATTGAGAGCACGATTGGAGATTGAAGTGCATGCTTTTGAGAAGGATCAGAAAAAAGCAGTAAGGAGACATCTGGATGCAGGGATAGACAGAAGGAATGCGTTTTTGTAGCCTTTTTAGACGGTTTAAATGGCTGTAAATGGCTGAAAAAACGTTGAAAGTCGGGGTTTTTTTGTCCTTTTGAGGACTGAAAATGACTTTGAATCCTGAAAAGTTGGCAAAAATCGGCTGAAAAAATCGGTTGAAAAAATCGGTTGAACGATCTGAATTCGGCCAAAAACAAGTCAAAAATCTTTTTTTTTTTGAATTCCCGCCAAACTGAAAGCTCGGAAAAATTAGAAAAATTTTCACACCTTTTTAGAGTTTTCAGTTATTTTTGAATAGAAACAACTTGAATTCGGTCAAAAAGATGAAAAATCATTTTTGGATTCCCGCCAAAACTGAAAACTCTGAAAAATCCAAAAAATTAGTGATTTTTTTCAGAAGAAAATGGATTTTTTCTTCAATTTTTTGGCAAAATTTCTAGACCTTTTTAAGGTTTTCAACTAATTTTGAAGATTCTTTTTCGATTTTTCTGGTTTTTTTGTCTGAAATTCGATAGAATTTTTTCGAAGATTACTGTAGATTAGTGTAAAAAGCTAATTTCCTTTTGTAGTTTTCTTTAAAGAAAAAATTTAAAAAAACTACAAAAAGAAATACGTTTTTTACAGTAATCTACAATAATCTTCGCGAGAAATCCTGTCAAATTTCAGACGAAGAAAAAACCAGAAAAATCGAAAAAGAGCCATCAAAAATAGTTAAAAAACTAAAAAAAAAGGTATTAACATTTTGCTTAAAAATCGCGGATTTTTCAGTGTTTTTCTCAGTTTTCTCAAAAACTCACCTCCGCAAAAATGACATAAAAATTGGCGTTATGCTGTCCGATAACCCTCAAATTCTCTCCATTAATCATTGATTTCCCAGCCGGACCAACAGTTTCTTCCAATTTCCCACCATTTGTATCCTTTACGATTGCCACCGCTGGCCGAACTTTTCCCTCGGCCATCGCTTTTAAATATTTCGATTTTTGCTCATCGGAACCGTAAATTTGGAGCAAATTTGCAGTTTGTAAAGCTAGATGAGCACTTGTATAGATGTTCCAATCCAGTGATAACTCCTCGAAAACCTTTGATATATCCTTATTATTCATTCCAATTCCACCAAAATCCTTGGGAATTGCCAACGAGTGAATTTCATTACTTCGAAGGGTTTCTAGCATTTCTGATGACAATTTTCCATCCTTTTCTATTGATTTTGAGTCGATTGAGAGCTCCAACGACTTCCGAAGCACGTCTACATAACCTTCAATGTTCCGGACGTCATCTGAATCCGCGTACTCGGGGTAGATCATGAAATCCTGGAAAAACACGCAATTAGGTTGATTTTTAGCTGGAAAATCGAATTTTTTTAAACCCGAAAATTGAGAAAATTCGAATAGTCAAATTTGGATTTTAGTCGAAGATTCAAATTTTTGAAAAGATTTGGATTTTTCAATTTTTAGAATTTTTCCCATGTTAAACACCGGTTTTCTATGCTTTTTACTGTTTTTTTTTCAGTCAAAAACCCTAAAAAACAAGGTTTTTTGACCCGAAAAATGAATTTTTGGGGAAATTTGACTATGAAGTCAAATTCAGATTTTTTCAATTTTTAACACTTTTCTCATGTTGAAACCCGTTTTTTAATGCTTTTTACAGCTTTTTTTCACTCGAAAACCCCAAAAAATAGCAATTTTAGCTCCAAAACTCAAGTTTTCTTTTGAAATTCTAAATTTTCAAAAAATCGAATTTCCCGCACTTTTTCAAATTTATTCATCGCGAATCCCCTTGAAAGTGATCGCTTTTCAATTGGCGCCGAGTTATCCAGAGTTCGAATTGCATATTTGCTGAAAAAACTTTTTTTTTGAATTTCAAAATTTCAAATTGTCAAACCGACCTTTTTTCACTAATTTCCACTATTTTTTCCGCTTTTGTTGCATCGCTAAGACTTCTAGCAGTCAGATGTTGTAAATTTCGTGCTCTTAAAAGCACTCGATGCATTTTGAAACAAGTTTTTCGGGTTGAAAATCGAGAAAATTGATGAAAAATAGAGGTGGAAGAGGTGGAAGAGTTTTGGGCGCGCTGGGGGGTTTTCTAGGCCGCGAGGGAGATATTTGCGCGCGCGTTTGAATTGGAAATTTGCAGTCGTTAAAAAAAAGACGTTTTTCAGAAAAAAAAGGAGGAAAAAAGCAGTTAATAGGGGAATGTCGATTGGAAATAGGTCTAGAATTCAAAATATTTTCCACGAAATTCCAAAAGATTTTCCACGAAAAACTTGAAAAATCCAATATTTCTGAATTTTAACATCTTCAAACACACAAGAATCTCTTGTGTTGATGAGGTATTGTTGCAAATCGTAAGTGCGCTCTAATTAGAAAAGGCGGGAATTTAAAAATTTTGAAAAAAAAACCCATTTCCAAGGGATTTTTAGCTCAAAATAACAAATTTCGGGAGAGGTGAAATTTCAAAAATTCATAACTTTGCCCATTTTCCTCGGATTCTCTTGATTTTTAACTTACCGTAAAACCTGTATTAGAAGTGCCCCTGAAATTGAAGGGCCCCTCTATTTGAAGTGCCCCCTAGACACCCCGCGAAAAATAGAAGTGCTCCCTCTAATTGAAGTGCCCCTTTGCTACTTACTGTGGCCGCCGCACGACGACGAAATGTTGCGGCCCGAGAAAAAAAATTTTCGTTTTTTTTAACTTTTTGTCGTTTTTTTGTTAATTTGGTGTTATTTCCCCGTTGAAATCGAGAGTAATGAGTTTTTCAAGAATGTCAGAGGAAGGCTCTTTTCATGATGTATTGGAGGAAGGATGTGAGATATCAAAAAAACTGAGAACACAAGGAAAAGAAGACAGCATTTTACGATGGAATTCAAAAAACAAGTTGTGGATTTTGCAAACAAAACTTTGCTTATAACAAATAAAATTGTTGATGTTAAAAAATTGTTAAAGGAGGACTCCGACCAAAAATTTTTATTGCATTAAAATGTTCGAAAATTTGTCTATTTTCCCAATACTATAGCGAAAAAATTCGAAAAAAATCCGAAATCCCCGAAAAATGCCGTTGAAAGCGAAAAATTGTCAAAAAAAAAAAGTTGCTAGGAGGGACGAGGATTCGAATTCCCGCGC